TACAGTGCGTTGGAACAGGATCAGAAGTCCAGCTACACACATCTGTTGTCTGCTTCACAACACAGCTCTCCCCTGCTGGCCTGGCTGGTGGTGGAAACGCTTCAGAAAATGCAGAGCATGAAAAGCCTCATTTACAGTCTAGAATATTTGGGTGAAATGGTTGTTTGAGAGGGTTTTAACTATAGTTCTTAAATGCAGAACTGTAGTTTAAAGCCATATTCATATGGTTGGTTAGTGTTCTTTTTAAATACACTGATAAGGCTGGCCATTTTTTATTAACAGGTAATTGAGATGAAAAGTGGCTTTTTGTCCAGTGTGCTCAGGTTTACAAATAGAAACTATTTTTTAAAGAACCCCTCTGCCTGGAATCTGTTTCAGGTAGTTTCTTTGAGAAAGGCTGTCCTGTGTGAAACAAAGCGGTCTGCCATGGTGCAGTGAGCAAATAATGCATAATATGTAAGCTACAGCAACATATGATCCCTTCAGCCCAGTAACATGATACAGCACGATTGGTCCTATGAATTGAAGTACACATGAAATGCCAAAACGGGTATGAATGATAGTACAGTAACCAATAGATAAAACATTACTTCATCCAACACAGGAGTGTGAAAAGGCAAAGCAGCAGGCAGACACTAACTGTATTATCTTTACACAAAGCTTGTGATTGTTATGAAAGGAAAAGCCAGCCACAAAATGAGCTCTCTTCCAAACTGATGTACCGCTTGCCCATTCTCAGTTTCTCAAAACAACCACTTAGTCATGGTAGGCTGACAATTTTATAAATGTTAGAGTAGATTTCACAATCTTTATTAAATCACAATTAACTAAAATCAAAGCTGCTATGCCCTTAAGCCATTTAAATTCCCTTACCATAATATTTATTTGTCTCCTGTATAACCTTAAAGACTCTCGTATGACTCTTAAAGAAAGTAAGATGTTCTAGCAATATTCATTTATAATACTAACACCCTCTTAAGAGATCTAGTACTGCCCCTACTCAGTGATGATGATGATCTTTTCCACAGATATTCCTTTGACCTGCAGAGAGTTTAGCTGGGCTATTATTTTTTTCTCTCCAGCTTTCTTAGGATGACAGATAATCTTAGATTTAAAGATCCCGCCAGGTCTTATGTCTCTAAAATAGGAGAGAAAGAAAAAGAAGAGATGGTTATTGACACAGTAACGTATGTATTCACTGTATGTATTCATTGCTTTCCGAAGTTTCTCTAAAGATGAAATACAACTTTCACAGACTAGCCAGTGCTGATCTTTCCTTCAACTTGAAATGAAAGTTCAGCAAACAAAAATACTACTTGGCAAAAAATAATATGAACAGGTGGTCAGGTTATTCTTTTTTGTCTCTAATAATTGGTGCTCCCACCAGTATTCTTGGAAGGTAATCCCATGCTCGTATAATGACAAATTCAGATCTGGAGGAAGTGGGAGCAGCTCTAACAGCTGCAATGAGTGCAGTGTAAAGCAAAAGGCAAAGAAAGTCAATACTGCAGCTGAATAAGACGATGCTGCATGGGTTGTACATGCAGAAGTGCACATTATACGGGGCTGTGCCAGGTTTGCATAGAACCAATAGTCTTTAGGAAGGCTCAGACCACAGGTGCCCAACTGTGTCTAAAAACATATAAAACTGTCTTGAGGTGTATATTAATCTCATGCAAGTAATTATCCAAAGTGAAATCTTACCCTTCATCAAATATTTCCATTTTGAAAAATCCCAGTCCTTCTACATACAATTTACACTTTTCCAAAGGAATTGCCAGTGTATTCTTGAAGACAAAGGCGCAGGTGAAAGCTTCATTGATCTTTGCTGTTTCTGGCATCTGAAAATAGAGGATTATAAAGGCAAAGATTGGGCACATGCTCTTATTAAAAAGCAGAATGCTAAACAGTGTCAATGACTGACTGCATTAAAACCATAAGGATATTATGCCTTAGTCAAAAATACAAACAGCTGAGCTTAAGGCATTAATAGAAAACATGGGTGTTAGGTCATCTGCTCCATTTCCCTGCCAAAGCAGAGTTGTTTTCTCCACGGTTTTATACACTCCAGATTTAAATTATGCAAGCACTTCCTCATGGGAGGCTGTTGCACAGTCTAATAGATTTAATTGTCAGGAAACAGTTTTTAATGCTTAGCCCAAAATTGCCTCTCTCAATATCATCCCACCCCCACTCAGTAAAACACCTTTGTGAGTATGTTAAACTCTTCCTTCCCACTTCTCAGGGTTTCTGTACCTGTAGATGATTATCCTGTTCCTATTAGGTGTTAGCCAGTCAAAACTTTCATATTTTGTTCTTTTAATATTTCCCTCTGTCATTTCCTTCAGGCCCCCTCCATTATTTTGCTGTTCTTCTCTGAAGTCTCCCCAAATTGTTAACATCTCTTTGGGAAGGAGCCCAGAGTCAGAGATGGGTGCACAATCTGAGCACCCCTAGATTGCATTGGTATCTAAAGTCAAATCTTAATTCCATGATTCTCCTTTATCTTGATTATCACCAAACCAAGCCCTGTATTTAAGCAGTCCTGAAGTTGAGGGTTTGACTGGGCTGCAGCCTAAAGGAATATTTTGGATCTTAGACCCATCACTACCTAAAAATGGGCCAGGAATTCTAGATGCGGGCTCACTCGGCTTGTGTTGAGAGAGACTATCACCTCCACTCGTCTCTGAGGTGAAGCCATTGTGCAAAGCCTATACATGGTGTTAGTACATAGAGCATGCACAACCTGTGTGTGCAATACATGTAAAAATCACCCTCCTTTACGGGCTTTTATCACCTTCAGATAGTTTTTAGTATTACTGCTTTCCAACTGCTGTCCTGGGGCTGAGAAAGCTAGCTTAGCCTGAGTTTGGGGGCTGAGGGGGCTTGCTTTTCCCCCAGAGGGATATTAGATAGCTAAGAAGGTAGAGTGAAATTCCAGTGCTGGCAGCTGTGCTGAAAGGGGCTATGTCTTGTCCATAGGTCAATGATCACATAAGCAGCTGTCAGCATGATCTACCTACAATACAGAAACCTTTTGCTTTTCACTAGTTTTTGCTCATGAACCATTGGTGCAGTTTCCAGATGACATTAGCTTAGTCAGTTAAATCAGCTGGATCCTTCTTTCAGCTAGGATTTTAGGAGAGAGAGTACCAAACGATTTAAAGTCCAGCTTCATTACAGCTCTTATATCACCTTCAGAACACCACACCAGTGACTGAGCAAATGCTGTGGCCAACAGACTAGACACGAGTCAAGAGTGAAGCTCTTCACTCTAGTATTTAGACCAGTGGTTTTCAACCTCCTCAAGCTCAAGGCACCCCTTATTAGACTCAAGGTACCCCTCAGAAAATACCAGCTCTTGGTTTTGACTCCTTTCATTGGTGACGCATAGGGGGTGCACGTGGGTGCATGTGCACCCCCTGAGATTGGCTGTGCACCCCCTGGAAGCGC